AGCGGAATATCTTTATAAGATAATGTCTCGATTTACAAAATTCAATGAACAACGAATGAAACACCTTAAGAAAAAAGTTTTCAAGTCAATCAAATTCATCAAAGAGAACGATGTTCTAAGATACATGATGCTAATTGTCGTATAAGAAGCGAAATATCTTTATAAGAGAACTGGAAAGGCGGTCGATCTGCACGTTGCAACAACGTCGCATACATCCACATGAACACCCCACAACTTGCCCCATCCACTTGTCTCGGAACTCCATCCACCACCACATTTCCCACTATCGACTTCCAACTCCTACCTGACCGCCTATATGATGTTTGACGTTCCAAATACTGCACAATCAACCCGAAAATAGAAAGGTAAAAACTAGAATCAGATACAACGCGAGGAAAAGAATCAAAAAATTTGAGAACATCATATCTCATGTTAACGGAAAGGAGGATCCAGTGATCATCATCTTTGTGGACAGGAACGAAGACAATATCGTAATGAAGCAAATCTACATTTCAAGCCCACCTCCGCACCCCACCGTGTCCTTGAAGCCGCAGTTTACTGAAGAAGAACGAATTAAAGCTGAAGACTTGAAGGCCCAACGGGATGTCACGTGACTCACATGCGGTTGACCCCAACAACACCATATAGAAATTGACCACCTCATCATTCACCCTGCCGTCGACATTCAGTAGAGTGAGGAGATCTTTTGCTGCAATCCGAAATTGACCATCGCCCACTATAGAGAGAACGGTGTGAGACGACACCGAGCCTCGTAAAATGCCGTCCAAAACCCACAAGCTCAGAGGCTCAATCGCTGCAGCGAAACTTTTCCCGCGTGCTGCACTTGCGGCCCGCACTGCACAACATCGAGCAAAGGACACGTGGGGTAGTGAGAAACAAAGTTCTAGGCATTGTCCCCCGGAGCATGACCCATTGCTAACAGATCATGGATATATCCCTTTCTCTGGGGCAAGAAGGGAAAGACATTCCTCAATGGCAACGTTGTACTCCTTCCCGATCTCGCCATCAACCCCTGATGCCTTCAACATATCCTTGTGTTTTGTTGTCAACCCGGGGACTTTCTGCAATATGTGCTCAGGATATTTGGAAGACCTCCGTGTTCGAGACGACCCCACCCCTGTATAACAGAAGAAAGACAGAACGGAAAATGAGAACCATACAATCGCACAGACGCAACAGTCAAGCAGGACCTCTCCGACCATAGGACCCTGAAATCGCGTTGTCATGTGCACCCAGGTGCGGTTGTGACTGCAACATTCTGGCTTAACACCCCCGCACTTCGCAAAGGAAAACCAGCACAACTCACAGAAGCCAAAGGCCAGCACTTCCCGAAGTTCGGACTGCGGCGTACTTTTCAATACACCAGCCCCACTGAGACCGACCACATCCGCATCGACAAAGGAAGTTCGGATCCCGGCGGACTACAACTGACACTATTCCCGAGATGGGAAAACYGTCARTCCATYCACTTGGYCACTTTCTTAGCCCCTTGGCCACTTCMTCAGCCAGGGCAGATCCTTCCTTRGATGGAGTGCAAGTTTGTCGACGAACTTTTCGCYGCCCTCGACCAGCAAYCYGSCCGAGTGACAGATAAGCCGACGAGATGTATTAGGAAGGGCCGGTGGCTGTAGTATGGCGGCATCCGGAACTTCCCGTATCGACAGACAGTGTGGACAGTCGTCGTGTGTACAGCGCGGACTGTAATCCGACGACATCCGGACGCGCCGGCAGTGTGGCGTTCTTCACGGCTTACCAGTCCGCCACACCAGTCTGTTTATCTCTCCGCTCCTTCGATGGGGAATTTGGCGCGGGCAAAGCGAGCACGTCGAGAGCTTGACCGCCGACCTTCGATTTTTTTGGGGACTTGACATGTTGTCGTCCCCCGACCTCGCCTTTCTCTCCGGCGGCAAGGGTGGCTGGCAGGACCAAGGACTTCGGCGGCGACGAAGTGAGTGCAGCTGCAACGAGAGACGTGACGTTGCGAGTTTCGTCCACGTCAGGCGTTGTGGACGGACGGGCAGACACGTTGTGCTCGCCGAGAATACCGTCGATTACTTCATCGATGCTTATACGCCGACTTGTTTTAGACGGGCTGATAGCGACGGAAGCCTCGTCGAAGCGGTGTTGCAAGTCGACAACAGACGTCAGTGGCCAGACCGCATAATCTTCAGGCTGTGCGGAAAGGCTGCTAACGACTTGTGTCTCCATCTCTATTGCCGTGGCATCGATGTCGACATCATCCTCGTGATGCTCTCCGTACAGTTGTCCGAACTCGTCATACGACTCTCCAGATCCGGCATCGTCCTCACTGTGCTCCACCTCGTCGTCTCTAGATCCGGCACCCTCCCTTCCTTCAAGCAACTCAAGTACCTCCGTTTCTCCCGCTTCCTCCCCTTCCTCCTCTTCTTCCCCTTCTTCCTTCCCTTCTTCCTCCCCTTCTTCCTCCCCTTCTTGCGCTCCCCTCCGTTCCTCCATTTTCTCCCCTACTTCCCTTCCACGAAACTCATCCCCTTCCGCGGTACCCGTGTTGAATCCCGAGGACCGCCCTTCCGTCTCCGTGCACGCTGCCCCTCTCAACAGCACGACAATCCCTGGCCGACACCCCCCGCCTGAAGAAGTTCGGATCTCGGCGGACTTCGTCGTGTGCGTGTCGCCGTACCCTGTACCTGCAGCCTCATGCTGCAATACTTGCGGCCGTCGCCCCTGCTCAGGCGACACCTTTCCCACGTTTCCGTCCGGCGCCGCAACACTGCCAATTTCGGGATCCTTGCTTGGCTCCCCCGCGTCTGGGCCACTTGGAGGGGGCACTTTCTAGTCCACCATGCCCTGATCGGCTGTGGAAATGAGGGACAGGTCGCCGGGTGCAATGGTGTCATTCTCGGCCGTCACTTTCTGGAGGACCGAAATCCTCGCGAGGTGTAGGAAGTTGGACTTCCATTCGCGCGGGAATGATGCCCATCCTGCGCCCGGGATTGCGACGGCCATGACCCACTCGCCCTTTCGTATCGCTGGCTGGATGACTCCCAGATGCCACACCATGTCATGGCCCCATTCCAGCTCAGGCGAATGACGTTGTGGTTCTAGGAGGAAGTGGATGTGGTCATCCTGCCAAGATGGATGATCGGGCAGGATGTCGGACCCGGGATGTAAAGCGGGCGGGGGGACGGCCAGAGCTCTGAGTCTCTCCAGCAACTTCATCGGCGTGGTGCCTGGCGGCGGTTTGGCCGACGGTGATACGAGGGCTGCAGCGCTCTGTGACGGACCGGCCGACGACGACCCTCTGCCGTGGTCCGGCGAAGGTGGGTCGTACTGCAGGTCAATGCTCTCTGTGTCGCTCTCCTCCTCCTTCGCGTTGGCGACAAACTCCACACATGTGGCTTCCTCGTCATCAGTGGAGATCAGGGAAGCGTAACTGGCTAACTTCAGCCGCTCCTCGGACTCCACGAAGTAGAGCGACTGCAGCCTATCGAGAAACGTCTTCGCGTTCAAGCGGGAGGTGAAGTGGTAGTTGTCGAGCCGTGTGAACATGTGGTTCTTTCAGCGGACGTACTCGGCGTCAGAGTCCTTCCTCGGCCGCGTTTGAAGAAACAAGAAATCGTATATCTTGTTCCTCTTCCTCTCGCTCAACTTGAACCACATATCCGTTTTGTTGCTCCACACCTTATCCCGTGTTGGCTTCACGACCATGAACTCACAATTGTGCCCGCCCGAATTGACCTCGCTTTTCACCACCAGCATCGTGAATTGCAAGAGCTCGGCGTTCCCTTCCATCGCGACAACGTGCCGGCCGGCCTTCAGAAGATGCCAGACGCTTCGCGCGTGCGGTTTCCCAAGGAACACGACACTTTCTCCCTTCTTGCCAAGGAAATCAAGAAGACCGACGAATTGTGTCGGATTGCGTTCCATATCCCCGTAGACACTGCCCTGTCGTTCCGGCGCCACCAGCGACCAATAGCAAGGCACAAAGGGAATCTCGGACACATCCGTCTGGGTGACCCTCTGAGGCAATCGCACCGCAGCAGCGGCACCCCTGGGCAGGTTTCCCTTGTAGACCACGGACGTGTTGGCGCGCAGATCGTCACCCTTGAAGAGGATGTACATGCGGTCTTCCTCCCTGTACAAATTGTTCCCAACGGGGAAGCTTTTCTTTTGATGAACTCTCCTCACCCATTTCCCTTCCAACAGCTTGACGAAAGAAAGATGGTGCATGCTGGCGAGAAACGTGAGGTTGTGCTGCCGCGGCACGAAAACAACGAGAGTCCAATGCGACGGACACCACGTCTGAAGATAGGAATCCAAAGTCTCCCACGCTTGGGCCTTCCATAGTTTGAGGTCAACCGGCTCGCACAGATCGAGGACGAACGTGTGGCTCTTTGTGGCAGCCACTGCTTCCTTCAGCTCTGCGCCCCTCATATCCGCCTCCAAAGGGTCATTAGCGAACGGCGCGATGGATGTCACGTCCCCCGTGTCTTTCCATTTAATGTGAACAATGTCTTCGGCAAGGGCGACCTCCCGGCTCTTCAGTCTGCTACCATTCAATACGGAGAGAAACTTGTTTCTCCAGTCGACGCACAACTTCATGTGTCCCACGAACTTCTCCGTCATCTCAATCGAGTTGTCCTGGTCGCAACCCATGTACGGCGGGCATTTTTGAACAGCGCCGAGTCTGAAACGTGTTTTCTGCTGTTATCCCACAACTTGTCATCCAATCTTGACTTTCAAACTTCCTGAACACTGCAGACCTCGATTTCAGGAAAGGGTACCTTTGGATCCAATCCGCGTCCGGCCTCTTCTCGTGTTTGAATTGGTAGTAATTCCACAACCAGACCAGCACACGGTCACACTTTACCAGTTGCACCATGTCCTGCACGCTCAACTTCCCCAGCTTCGCCAACGACGGGGAGCCGGCTTGGACCCAAACGACCTCGCAAGCAAGCACCTTCTTTAGAACGCGACACTTTTCATTGTCCGTGGGTGATTCCATTGCTTTCCAACAATACGCGTCCGGTCGGGCACTTGCACGAACCAATCGACCTCCTCTTTCTCCTTTTTGCCTTTCTTATTCAGTGGGTCCACGGGGACGTTGTACACCACCTCAGTTCTGCCCTACTTGTCGTTGTGGATGTAGGCGACCCCAGGCTTGACGTTTTTGACCTTCTTCTTTTTCACGATCCACCTCGCTCCGTCGTAGCTCAACAATCTACCCGTCTCCCATTTTTCAAAAAATTCCACGGCCAGTTTCCAGACATTTTCTCCGGCCATAGCGAGAGGGAAAAAAGAACGCAGGGCAGCATTTTGCTTCTTAAGGGMCTCCTCTTCCTTTTGATCYGCGAGAATCCACAAGCTGTTGTGAGGCGCCTTATGGAGCGCCGTTGTACAAAACTTACGCCAAGTCCGGACCTAATCTTGTTTCCCGCTAGGGTTCCCCATCACAGCTCTCGAGCAGCCGTCATGCTTCCAATGCCACCGAATGTCTTTCATAGACAGCTTCAACTGTCAGGGAGGCGCCTTCAGGTCCTTCTTGTTATCCTGTGAACTAACAAGAAAATACCCTTCAAAGTCGTCGTTCGGAAAGTAAAGCATTCGCGCCGGCCACCGCTCGAAATTGTAATTCTTGGCCACCTCGCTCCCGAGCAGCGATCGGGCTGCAGCGGCGTTATGCTGCCCGCACACCGTGTAGTAGTGGTATTCTCCCGCCAGCTCGTCCTTCCACTCCTCTGGCTTCAGCCGTTGAGCCTCGGTCCTGGGAGTTGGTTTTTGAAGCCCCAGTGGTGCGAGCTTGAAGATCGGCAACTCGTACCTCTGCTCTTTATTTTCGAACGCATACTGCATTGCATCTTTTATCGTTCCCACGAGCACAGGATCCAGCGACCGCTGGTTGTAAAGATCCTCCCACTCCCCGAGGTCGACGATCTGAGCCGGGCTAATCTCAAACTCCCGCCGTGTCCTGACGCCGTCTTTGTACTCCAGGAAGTACCCGGCGTCCACGTCGATGGTCGGCCTTGTCGTTGAAGGTTCTGACGCAGGCTGTTTCTATTTTGAAGCCGGACGTTTGCCACCCGGGTGGTCCTCTTCCACACCCCTTCCCTTCCGTTTCTCTCCCGTAGTCTTCGGGGTCCTGGTCTTTTGTTTCTTCGAAGAGCGTACCAAGTCCTCTTGACAATCTCCCCTCCTTTTTTGGGGAGTCCCCTGCGCTCCCTCACCGCCCACGGCCTTGTCGTCCGCGCCATGGCCCTCGCCGGGCTCCAAGTCGGACCCACACTGGACTTCCTCTTGTCCGGGATCCGTTGCGACCTCTTGTCGAACCGGGGTCTGTAGCCGGACCTCAAGTATGGACAGCACGGACCGCTCTCTTTCCCTCGACGCTGAAAACGGCAGACGCGGGGTCGCCTCATCTTCGCTGTCGTCAAACTGACCTCTGGTATCCTTATGCTGCACATGTGTAGCCTCGCCGGAACCAAGATCCCCCCCCTCCCCCGCTGCCCCGCTCGACTCACAACCGCCGCACAGCTGCAAAGGCATTGACAGTTCCAGGTCGAGACCGACTTCACAAGGGACGTCGAGGGCGATGTCCTTGTCCTCCAACAAGTCGAAGAACTCTCGACCCAAAACAAACCCGCCCTGCCGCTGGAGGTCGTTGTAGAACGGGGTGTTCACTGCACCCGCTCCGAACCCCTCGAACATACACATGTCGAGAACTGCCCCCTTGGCACCAGCGGCAACGTTCCCCTTCGAACCGTACACATTTTTCATGTAGAACCGTCGACGACTGCCTTTCGCATTCTCCCACCGCAAAACAGCCCCCAGAACCCTGCGGCGCTTGTTGGCTTCGACGAAGATCACAGGACCACACGGCTGTTGAACTGGGTGCGAAGCATCACCACAGCACCAGTCAACGAACCATTTTGAGCTTGCGTGGTCCGACCACGACCTCGAGGTCGTAGACGAACGTTTTGTGGAATCTTTCCCCGATCCCATCCCAGAGGTCACTGCAGGCTCCCCCTCGCCCCTCGACGAAGACATCTTGTCTGCGGACGACAACGGAAAACAAATGAACCACCGGAGAGCATCAAGTCGCAGACAAAATACAGCGCAGGCGAAAAATAAGGGCGGCAAACATTGCGCCCAACCGTTCCGGGACCTCAAAGTTCGGATCCCGGCGAACTTTGGATGCAAAGACCTTTAATGACCTCTTACCTGCAACGAGATCGATCTTCAAAAGGGGACACACATCATGCGGCCGGGCGACAACCACATCAGTATTTCCGAAACACAGATGCCGACCACATGGGGAATGAATGGGAGGTCATGTTCGAAGCTCGCGTTGGACGGGGCGGTGTCCTCCGCTAAGCGCCTGGAACCCGGACAGGCTAGCACGGGATCCTTGTTGATTTTCTGCCGCGCTAAAACCTACGCCTCTTTTCTATCTATCTCACTAACCAAAAAGATGCATGATTGAATCGATGTGTGGAGAGTGGTTTTGTTCCCCACACCGCGGCCAGTCATACACCCCGAGGCACTCGCTTCTTCCTTCTTCTCTCCTGCTTCAGCATAATCTGAAATTATCTCGCGCAAATACTGAATGCTATAAATCCTGCAAGTGTGACGAATTCTCTCTCTAATTTACATTTCGGAGTTAGCGCGGTTGAGAGGATCGGCCAACGAATGGAGACAGAACGGTGAGTAGGGAGTTGGGCGATCCGACGAGCTGGTGCTGGGTATGAGGGGTTGATGTGTGGCCGCGAAGCACTGTGGCACACAGACGAACATGGCTTGCATGTTCGGATTAAGCGTGATGACAACTTCAGATTGTTTGTAGGTGCAAGGTGACGGACTGCCCACATCGTGGGAACTTTAATAGAGAAAGAGAGAGAGAGAGAGAGAGAGCGGTGTGCGGAATTGCTCACATTGTTATCTCTTCGCATCCTCTGTATAATTTTGATTTCTGGTTTCGACTATCTTCGTTTGTGGCACTATCGGATTTTCCTTTCCTTAATTAATGTGTGAATTATATTTATCTCCCTCATTTCTTCCTTTTGCAGTACAAAATGTTTGACGATCGTGAAGATTGATTGATTGCTTGAATGACTTGAAAGCATGGAGGGTTGTCGTTGCTTGTCGATCGTCGAGCGGGGGAATTATGATATTCATGGAATAGGCATTTGTAAGATGTATGGAACCCGACCCCCTTTGCGCGCCTATGTTTCTGTGTGATGTTCAAGTTTTTGTATCTATAACATCGATGGATTGTCTGTTTTGTTGCGTTAATCCTTTAGAAGTTGTCTCCCTGAAGCAACCCACGATAGGATAAATGCATGCATAGCAAGTAGTTTAAAGTCCTTTCAGGGACCACTTCTATGCACTCGCCTAGGTAGGGGTTGGATCTTTCACCCGGCTAGTGCATGTGCGATGGACATCTTATGCGAGGGAATATTCTTCTCTCGGTTTCTACTTCGGCCTAYAAGATTATGGATGTTGCATCGAACGGTTGTCCTTTGCATTAAGTATGAGGATCCCGACTCTTCATAGTAATATCAGGAGTAGATTAGATGTGTGTGTTGCAAATTGGCTCGAATTCTTTTGAAGATAGATTATGTGCACACACGTATACGAATGACCGCCAGCACGCCAGTCATCACGTATACATGTGTCTRCATGACCTGTCCCCRAAATGATCACGCTTGGTACATACGAATGAATGGGCTAAGTCATTTTTGCAAAATATGGACGTCTGCGTTCCGTTCCCGATCACCGATGGTGCCTAAGTATCTGGAATACTGGGAAAGCGAACAACTTCTCCGCCAGTCGAACTTGAGCCTCCCAACCTATCCGTGTCAAACTGAGAACGATAGCCTATGTGTCTGGGACTTCCAGAGGGCCATCAGACGAAATTCCCAAATCCTGGACTACCCTAACAGTGCTAACACCCGGAACCACCAGTACTACATAACACCGGGATTCGTCGCCACTGAAACCAACTTCCCTCCATTCTATCGCCTTCTCCCTAAGGCTTATCATAATCTAACTGTCTCCCCCTAGAGTCGATAGCCCCCTACGGGCCCCGACCTGGGGAGGGAGGGAGGATGGGACTTGGGCTGTGTTCTCCCTTGTACGGTGTACGCGGGGTCTCCGTACAGCGTACGGAGGGTCTCCGTACGACCTGTGTGTACGGACGGATGGACGACCGTACGGGCGTACGGATGGTCTCTTTGAACATGCCTGCCCCCGGTGTGGCGGGGAGGGGGGGAGGTTGACCCCCAGGGATGGTAGGGGGGGTCTCGAGGTTCACGTTCGTATTTTATTAAAAAAAATTAAGAAAAATTTTCGTGGTGGAAAAATTTTCGCTAGAACATGGAAATATACATTGTCATACTCATTTTTGTTTGTGTGTGTGTGTGTGTGGATCTGTGTCTGTGTTCGGGGGGGGGAGGCGACCCCCCCACTTCTAATCAATCAATCAATCAATCACTCAATCAATCAAAAAAGGGAAAAAAAAGGCCGGGATCGTTTGTGTGTGTGTGTGTGTGTGTGTGTTCGCAGGGGGAGGCGACCCCCCCACTGACAATCAATCAATCAATCAATCAATCATTCAAAAAAGAAAAAAAAAGGCAGCGATTGTTTGTGTGTGTGTGTGTCTGTGTGTGTGTGTGTGTGTGTGTGTGTGTGTGTGTGTGTG